CAACAACGATATTATTATTTGCAATCAAAATGAATGGACAGTTATCAGTTAATGTGAATAATAAAGATATTAAATATCTCAATGTTTTTTCTGGAACAGTAGATCAACAAACTTTATTCATTACTTAATAAAAATAGAACTCATCAACCTTATTTGTTTCTTTCTTTCCTTTGCTGGATTGAATTAAACGCCTCTGGATAAGAATCGCAGATTGGAAATCCTTTCGAAACAAGATCAAATTCACCACTAGATTCGACTGTTGTAGATGATAGAAAAAGTCTTTGAAAAAATATAACCGACGTTTTGATCGCTTCATAGATGAACTCCCTCAAAATACAATCATAAAAACCTTTAGTGAGCGAATAGCTGAAAGGTTAATTTTTTCTCTGACTTTCTATATTGGCGCGTGTCTAGAAATTAAAAAAGTATAATGCTTATTCTCTCAACAAAGTTGAAGCGTACTATTTTTCTTTTTCTTGATATAAGAATACATACATCAAGGAGTTTGATACACAATGTTTTCCTTTCTGCTTACGATCTTTATGATCCAAATGTATGCGCATCTTGTCGTATGTGAGATAAAGATGCACTAAACGTTACAGTTCTAACAAACCAAGCATCCATTGTCTTCAGTTTTACTTCTGTCATATGACACTTATTCATTCTTCTACACTTTCGTCAAAAGTGCTACATGTGTATGTTAGACTTGATAAGAAAAAAGTGAATATTTATTTGTATGTTATTTCACTAAAGAATGTCTTAGTCCGTCGTATATTTTTGTTCTACTTTTCAGTCACTTATAAACATTAGTATTTAAACACTGATTTTAATAAATTCTTTTCATTCATCGTAGATAAACAGTATAGTTTAAGATGGCATTAGGTGCATTAAATGCATTAGCAATGAAAGTTGTTGACATGACGGTTGAAGGTATAGTTGAAGATTCAATAGTAAGTAATTGCCGATGGTGTTGTTCATGAACATTAACTAACACTTTTGCTTTTAGTCTGACCGCTTTGCCGATGTGGTTCACGAACCAACATCAAAAGTAAGTCAAAAGTTTTTTCTACTACCGGCATAGGTCAACAATGATGAGTATTAACGACGCTGAATAGTTTTCTCCTGTAAACGAAGATGAGTAATACAGCAGCTTATTTGAATTACATTCTTTTAATCCGCGTTTTAAATTATATTCTACGATGAATATTTCTCTTGTTGCTCAAAGCATCAATAAATAAAATTAAAAGTTCTGCATTCCAAACGATTTCTCATCGTCATTTTTCGGTTATCGTCTATAGACCAGTTTAATATGTTCCTCTTTTACTTGTTGACTACGCTCTATACTACAAGTTTAAGAATTCACTTAGAAGGTAGTGATGTATATTTTCTAATCTACATGCCAACTATGTCTCACTAGCATATACCAACCCTACTCGATGTTCTTGTTCAGCAAGAATGCAAGATCTTATGACATTTCTTGCCCAAGAATCATTTTTTGCGCTTTCTTGCCCCAAGAAAGTATTTTGCTTGCGCAAGAAAAATATATGAAAACTTTCTTGTGACAAGAAACTATCTTTCTTGCGCAAGAAAGCAAGAACACTTTTCTTGTCACTTCTTGCTGTAACCATCTTCACTGCAAGAAATAAGATCTTGCAGTAAAACAAATCTTAGAACAAACATTTAGAATGTTTATCTTTACGTAAAGCGAACGTGTTTTTCAAGCTGCGAGATAGCAGACAATGAGTTGTAGGCTGTTACTTGTGAATAATATGATTGTGGTAAACTTGTGTCGAATTTATTTCTATTATTATTAGATTTTAAGTAGGAATTTTTTCACGTAGAAATGTTTTTTGTTACTTGTACGAAAAATAATTTAATAGAAGAAAAGTTTTATATTCTTCAATAGTAGTTTCAGCCGATTCTGTGTGTTATTGCTCTTTAGAACGTTTATAGTAACCTTTTAAATAATATCATTCATTTGTTTAAGGAGATTGCAACATCCAATAATATCGCAAAAGCTCGTTCAATAGCATTGTATATTCATGCAATGGAAGAGGTACCAACAAAGGCAAAGAGGTCATAAACTTTTAAACATCACTTTAAATTTTCTAGTATTGTGGTGGTGATCGTCCATATATTCATCCCAATCCATTGGAAGCATTACACAATGCAGTACGACGACAGTCGTTAGTGGAATTTCGTCGAGCAGTAAAGTTGGGTATGTTTTAAATTTCTGACGAAGACATATTTATCTCTGATCATATGAATAATTTGTTTATTTTAGGCGATGACCAAGTATCGCAATCATATCAAGAAGTTTTAGATGGTGAAATGTCAGAATTATTTTCAAATTATAAAAAACATAATGAAACATAAATCTATGTGAACATAAATCTATGTGATTTTGGTATGTTTCCATTCTGGATGTGTTTTGTATTATTATTGGTATGGCTATACACAAAATATAGAGGACAATATTCAGAAATTGGGGAATATATCGATTATTTTTCAGATGTTGTTTGGAATAATGTAAGTTATTTTACGTGTTAACAATCTATATCTCGAATAA